ATTATACTTGATTTGTAAATACATGTCTATGATTTTGCAAAAAGGACTTTATCTTCTTGCCGGAGTTTAATGTTTTGTTACTTGCTACCGGGTGTCTGTGAGAACAAAACACGGGCGTAGAAAAGACTATAAATAGTTTTTAACGTGCACAGTAACTGAAATTTAAAGGCTCAATAACTGTGCGCACATTGTAAGCGCTTCGTGCTCATAGACTGTCAACCCTCTACATTGAGAGTAAATCACTCGCATATGCGACTAAATCTTCACTCTGGGCGACTAAATGATGTCTAATATTAGCCAATGGCTAATCAATTCTCAGATTTTACTCGCCAGTGTGTGAGTTAGAGGCTGAGTATATGATTAGCACAGATATATTTTCACTCACAGAACACTGACTGACCACTGAATGAAAGACTACCATGATTATCCATGAAGACCTCACCAAATGGCTGTTTCACAATGAAATAGGATTTTGGGCCAGCACCTATCAAATAGCATATTTGCAAATAGCCAACGGCATTTAGTTCACATCACAGTCACAAACAAGATCTGCTATTGCTAGTCAAAAGGGCCTTTCGCACCGCTTTAGTTCCAGAACTAAATGTACAGTACTAAAGTACTGGGACGATTTTGCGCGAACTATTTCCACGCATTTGGCCAATCAATGTCTACTTGCGTCACGATTAGTACCAGTTGTGCTGGTTAGACCCTGCTCCGGAGTAGGAGCTAATTTGGTTCTCGAAAAAGGCAGTCCGGTACTAAAATCGCTCCCAGTTCCGGCGGTGCGAAAACGCCAAAAAGTGGGTAGTTCCAGTTAGTTCTGGTACTATGAAAAGGTTCCCGTGGTGCGAAAGGCCCTAAAGACCGGTGGTATTAGAGAAAGGGGAATTAATATTTTAAGAAATAAATTCAGTAACAAAAACCTGGATACAGCATCAGTGCAGAATCAATGAGCTCACATTCACTGTACAGTCCTGTTCATCTGCCACTGCTCAGACAAATACACAGTCCCACACTAAACTCACACCTTTGGTTGAGAGGTTTCAGAGCCACTGCACCTTACACACTTTCAGACAATAAAGACAACAAGAATCTTTTTTTTATGTAAACCTATGTACTAACATCAAAAAATAAGTACAATCAATGTACTTATTGTGTTCATATTGTACTGCAAAACACTTTTGCTGCTATTGTGGTGGGACACGGGTAAGGTTAGGGACCGGTTTGGTGGTGTGGGCAGGTTTAAGGGTGGGTTAAAGGGGTCATATGATGCGATTTCAAGTTTTCCTTTCTCTTTGGAGTGTTACAAGCTGATTGTGCATAGATAAGATCCCTGAAGTTGCAAAGACTAAAGTCTCAAAACCAAAGAGATATTCTTTATCAAAGTTAAGACTCTGCCACGCCCCCCTAAAACGGCTCGTTCTAACACGCCCCCACATATCTACCTCACTATGTGGAAATATTAGCATAATGCCGCCCAAATGTTCACGCAAAGAAAGAAGGCGTGGTTTCAGTAACCGCAGTGTTGAAGCAGCATGTCAGGGAGACGCTGTGTGTTTCTAGGCGAAAGCAAAAGCACTTTATTTGGCCTTCCGAAAGTAGATGCATTTAGGAATCTTTAAGATGACTTACAACAGAACAGCAATGCATTTTATAGACGACCGTTTCGTGAACCTAGGAGAGGAGGTAATTCTGACTTTGCTACGAAAATCTGGCTCTTCTGAATCATCTACTGTTTTGTTATTAGCTTAAGTGTTAGAGAGAGAGAGAGAGAGAGAGAGGCAGGGTCACAGTGGAGTCAGCTGTCTTAACCGTGGCTTGTGTACTGCAAACACATACCAGCTTCATCACTGTGTCTGTCACGAGACTCTGTTCCCCTTTCAGGCTCTGTCTTTACATTTATTTTGAAAGATGAAGCTCGCGATTATGGTAAGGGGCGTTACATTTCCGACGAGTGCTTGCGGTGTTCGGCCAATCACAATGCACTGGGTCAGCTGGCCAATCAGAGCAGACCGCGCTTGTCGGAAGGAGGGACTTTGTAGAAAACTACGCGTTTGAGAGAGGCAGGGCATATAGGACCTACAATAATGTACAGTATTTGAAAAATAATGTGTTTTTTGAACATTAAAGCATGTCAACATATTCTGTTACACCAAACACACAAAATAATGATCTTTAAAAAAAGCATCATATGACCCCTTTAAGGTGTAGGGGATGGGGATGGGTCAACTCAGCACAGTGTAATTATAAATGTAACTAGAGAAATTAATTACAGATGTAATTACATGCAGGTATTTTAAAAATATAAGTACAATGCAAAAACATGCAAGTACACAATAAGTGCAATGTATCAAATTATTAATTTAAATGTAACAAGGCCACCAAATATAAAGTGGGATGAAACCTTTAAGAAAGCATAAAATGAACAATCAATATGAATGGACGGAGAATTCCTCTGATAAATGCTAAATCTTGTGAAGTGGTGCTTCCACCTCTGCCTATCATTCTGCATAATTTGTGGCATTTGACTATATATTCAGAAATGCCTGTGGTTTAGAGGTACACATGAAAAGTTATTTTATTCATGCTGAAAATTGTTTCGATGTCAAAAAATTGCACTGTATACATTATTTCCCTAAACATTAGGCATGAGTTATAAAACGTTTTCCCCCCAAAAAGGCAGATGTGGGTTGAAATGTATCAGTGAGAGAGAGTAAAACGGCTAATACAGATACACTATTTGCTGGATGTTATTATGAGTTATAAAATTAAGATTTCCCCACAAAATGGCATGTACTGTAAAGTGTTTCAGATGCATTGAGGTAAACTGCAAGAAAAATGAATATTAATTCTATACAGTTGACGTTTGTTTGTTACATTTAAATATTCAGAATATAAAAGCATGTTTGTTTGTTTTCTGTTTGTTAAATGCATACGTTTACAATAAAGTTGCCAAAATACTGTAATTTCATTAACATGTGGCAGCAGGAATCCTACAACAAAAATATAATTAGATGTAGGAGTTTTACTTTTCATTTATCCTTGCACAGAGGACCTAAATAAATAAATAAATCAGTTTACACCTCACTGGATTTAAAAATATAACTAAAAGTACTTTATTAGGCCGTTCCTGAAATGCTACTTCCTTTCTTACAAGTCACTTTGAGATGAAGGCAAAGCAGCAGAACACTGAAGAGCAGATGGCATCGGTGTTGACAACAAAAGTATTCTCATCAATGATTTAGCAGGTTTGGCGCCTTTATCATAAATGCACTCGTTTAGTCAGACAGCATTGTGGAAATATTGAAAAATGCCACTACATCAAAACAACAGCACGAGTGTGGAGAATTACAGGGCAATGAAAGTGACAGGGGCTGTTCTGAGCTGTGCCCGCGGTTCAGGAAGAAAACAAGTGGGCGTGGCTCTCTGAGTCCGTCATATCGCGCTGCTTCCTTGCTGATTGGCTAGCCAGCTTCCACCGTTTCCAGGAAACATCTCCGAGCGCCGGAGCTTCACGTCTACCTCTGTGCCCATATAAGGGAGTAACACGTCTTCGTGACTTCTTGAAGCGCTAGATGGACTCCAGTGGCTTTAAAGTGCGCATTCGCGGCTATTTCACGGATGTAGTTTGAAAGTGGCGGTCAGAGGCGGTTTTGGACACGCTCTTACCCCGCTTGCTCCGTTCGGTTTGTTGTTCCGATCACTCAGAGAGAAACTGCCGGTGTAGAGCTGCCACCTGGTGGACAGTGGGGGGACTGCAGCGGTGAGCTCGAGACTGACATTTAGTGGTCGAGGCCTTTAGGTGCAAATTGCTCAGTGCAATAGACGCTAGTGTCAGAAATGATCTATTTTATTCTTAGGGGCCAGTGTTGGGGGTAACGCATTACAAGTAACGCGAGTTACATACTCGGATTACTTTTTTCAAGTAACTAGTAAAGTAACGCATTACTTTTTAATTTACAAGAGAATATCTGTCACTTTTTTTTTTTTCAATGTAGATTGACAGCTCTCCTGTCCCCATGTTGAGAGAAATCAGATGTTAATGTTGTTCTAAAATAAATATGAATATGCATTAATTAAACTCACAACAAAAAAAACACACAGATTCAGTATTCCTCAAAATGAATAAAAATAATGCAACTCTGAATCTGACACAAACCTGCAATAATTAAATGTTAAACGACACAAATATTCTTTATGTATTTAATCCCATTCTATTAACCAATGTCTTTGCTTCTGACCTTCGATGATCCAGTTCAACCGTACTAATCAGCACAAATTACACAAACGTGTCTTTTTTTATTGCTGAAGTGTGTTGAAATTTCTTCTTCTGTATTCTACTGTACGGATGTAAATGTACATTTCCTTCAGCCTGAGGCTTATTCAGTTCACTTTTGGTGTGAAAAGGCTTTTATATTTGCCAAAAATAAAACTTTTTTTTATTTTAAAAACAAACAAGCCCTGTCCAGATTTAAAAAGTAACGTAATGCATTACTTTCCATAAAAAGTAACTATGTAATTAGTTACTTTTTTATGGAGTAACACAGTATTGTAACGCATTACTTTTAAAAGTTACTTTCCCCAACACTGTTAGGGCCAATATTTGCCTCTAGATTTTATTTTTGTGGGGACATTTTATAAAGCTCTTTCTTTCAGATATTTCATGTAGCTTTAAAAAAATGTGCAAGCTATTATAACATACATTTATATAAACGCATTTTTAATGATTAAAAAAAAAAAACTAATCTGACAGCCACATGCTGTTTAGAAGCACTTACTAACCCCATAAAACATAACACAATATAATGAAATGTATAAAGTGAAATACATGAATTGGTAAACAGGCAGAAATTATGACAAGAATTGTGTTCTGCTGTAAGCATAACAGCTTTTAGCCTCACTTTCCAGTTTATGAATTTTAAAACTGACCGATGAAACCGAAGAGAAAAGATCCACTGTGAAGTCCAATTTTATTGTCATTGCAATGGATGAAAAAAAAATTATTAAAAAGGAATTACAACAACAGAAAAGTATCGGAAGAAAAACTAATTTGGACTGGTGAAGTTTAAATTAACCTTGATTAAAAGTCTCAAGCAATTAGTTTATACGAAATAAATTAAAGATCAAATATAAGGTGTAAAACATGATTGTCAAAATATTAAACAATGAAAATGTTCATAAAAAGTAGTCCACATAAAGGCACTATGGTGATTAACATGAATCCGAGACTGTATTTGGGGGAAGCAGCTAAAAGGATTCAAGATGTCGTATTCTGCAATACGTAGTATTCTAAATTACGTAGTGTGTCCCTCTGCCTTCATCAAAACCAAACACATCTATGTACAGCTTGTTATTTTGAAATCTTAATGAAAAAATAAAAATATAATTTTATCATAGTTTAGTACATCTACATATATATACACAGCTTAAATTTTACACATCTATGTGCAATATTAGGAATGATTACATTCTGCCACTTTCAATAAGCATCAGCTTTTTTTTTTTCTAGGCATTGTAGGTCTTGATCTTCTGCGTGATGGCGGCACAGCAGATGGGACACTTGTTCAGGGGTTCTGAGCATTTCTGACAGGTGACCAGGTGTCCACATGGAATGAAGACAATGTTAATGTCACTGTCCATGCAGACTTTACACAGTTTCTCCCTCTGGAGGTTCTCAAGTTTCGTCATGGGGTCCTCTGTAGAAAATATGAAAGAAACAAACGTAACATTAAAACAACATCAAAACACAGTGATTCTCTGCTTATTTATTTAATTATATTTATCTTATTTTATGAAGTTTGAAAGCTGTCAATCAGTCAATCTCCATATATCTTTACGTTTATATATATATAAAAAATGTTGGAATTCACTTAATACATTTAAATTAAAAAGTACCTTGCATACAAATCAGACTTTCAAAAAGAAAAAGAACTTGCCAGCTTTCTCGGGTATGATACTGGCACTGAGGTCTTGAATAAGGGCCTCTACCGAAGCATAACCCTCAGTGTTCTGACGTAGTTTCTGCAGAATGCTGCGCTCCACTTTGATGGGGTCAAAACCCATATCTACAGCCTTTTGTGCAATCTTTGACTGGAGGACTTTCTGTGCTGCTGAACACAAAGTAGAAATCAAATATCTTGAGAAGACGGGATGTTTCCAAAGATATTGCAGACAGCAGTTATAAAAACTATGATTATGGCTTCATTGGATTTGAAAGTAAATAAACCCCAGAAAAGCTTACCTTCCTCGTGACTTGAAAAGCCATTCTGACTTGATCTCTGTAACGGCAAATTACAAACATGTAAGACTACATATAGCGCACACTATTTATATCGGAATAAAAGGATTGTGTTTATTATTAATTCTATCCATTCAACACATTGTTAAGTACACATAATTGTGTAAAGCAATGACTCACTGAATGGTCTCCTTTTGGATTTCTCAGCTGCACGCTGTTGACATATTCTCCTCCTTTTTCTGCCAGAAGGAAACTGCAGCTGGGGGTCAATTATAATACTTTCACAATTAGACACCACATTTTTCACCATGGTTAATGCTTGCCTCACATGATCAATATTACAATTTTACTGATAAATATTATAGATTTGATAGTTTTTATATTTAGGTATCAGGAAGGATTAAGGACAGTTCAATCAAAAGGCAAGATTTTTAAAGTATGAATTCAGAATGACTTCAACTTTAGTCCATTCCTCACACTGTATGAAGCGATTTTCTTTAGGGACACACAATATATCAGTAGTACCAGCTCAAGTTATCAGATAATATTAGGGTCTATAATTAGTCTGTTTCGGTTGATATTGGATATTAATGTACACAAAGTTAATTGAAACAAATAATTGATTAATACTTAAAATGCTATCTTTAGTGAATCTTAAAATCAAAACCCTATTATGTAGAGTATGAAAATGGATATTATCATCAACTAAAAACATTAAAAAATTGTTACGTGACAAAAATGAAGCTTAAAGAAAAATATTAAAAACTAATTTTAGTTTAGTTTAACTTGAAGTACTAAACTAAAAATGAATGTAAAAATAAAAACTATATAGACAAAAAAAAAAAATCACAAAAACGCAAAATTACTAAAAATGCTTAACTAAAATGAAATTGAAAATATAAATGTATTTATTCACTTTTTAACACCATGCCAGCAACAAGGCTATTTTCATAAAATGTAATTTAAAACATTAACAAAAATAGTAGATCAATGATACTAAAATAATTCTTGTACATTATATATGCCCAAATTCACATTTAAATGACTGATTCATAGTTTAGTGTTTTACCTTTATATATATAAATAAAGGTAAAAAGGTGTATTAAGTGTTTTTTATATATATATATATATATATATATATATATATATATATATCTGTGTATAATTTTTCAGTCTTAAAATATTTTCCTTAACCCTTGTATGGTCTTCGGTCATTTCTGACCGGAGAATTTTACATTTTGAATTTTTAAGAATCGTAGCTTCACCAGAATGGTACGAAACTTGGTGACTTTTATGGCACTTGGTATGTGAACACAAAAAAAATCCAGGGCATGATTCGAAAAAGCTAAGTGGTCATAAAATAAATTGTCACACTCATGGTCTTCGGTCAAATACAGAACAAAATACAGAACATTTTTATGCGTAATACAACACTATAAAATTGTATAGAATTATTCTATTCTACTTATTCTGCTGTAACAACATTCACATTCATACAGTCACTGTATGCAATAGAGCAGTCTGAATATTAAGTTAAATTCTGCAGTGAACATGCAAATGTACCTCAATGTTTCAATGTATACGAAAAAACAATTCACCCTGGATAGTGCCTGGCATGCTGCTCCCAAGGGTCTTCATCAGGCCTCCACCCCTTCAGTCCTCCTCCACATCTGAAGCAGAGCACACGGTCCTGTTCTCCTATATGACCAAACACCACAACAGTTTGTTCACTGTCTTCCAACAAAGTTGCAAGGATGACATTTTTAAAAGCCAAAACCTGGAAACAAGTTAGCATTTTAACACTTTCTGTGTGTATGCATGCATACATATATACATATATATATATATACACACACATACATACATACATACATACATGCTATATGAGAGATAATTAGTTTATCCGGTATAAATAACTGAATAAGCTTGGAGAAACATAACAGTAGTTACCACTGCTGTAGAAACCAGCTCTGGCCAGTCTCTCAGGGTCTATGGGATGCTGTCTGCCTCTGAAGCTTTCAAGACGCTCCTCAAAAGTCTCCAAAGAGGCTCTCTGACCATTCACCCTGGGACTAGGTGTTGTCAGAGGCACATTGCCCACATCGTGGCCCAAGATGAAGAAGCAGTTTGGGTAGTGCTTTGCATGTTCACCCCAGGCTTCATCGCCTGGCTCCCATCCTGCCAGCTGCTGCCCACAACAGAAGCACCTCACGGTGTCATATGGTCCTAAGAAATACATCCCTGCTGCCGCCAGGTCTTCGGGTTGAACTGGAGCGTCTGCAGGCCACTCACTGAAAGTATTCAGCCGAGCTTCCTCGCTCTTCATGTGTGGCACATTGGGATAAATGGTCTGATCCACCACCTCTCCCGTGCGGAGCTGGAACTCCATGGCTTCGGCCTCTTCGTTGTAAGCAGGGCTTCGAATGAGGTCGGAGGCTCTCAAACCATGAGCACAGCTGAGGAACTTGCAGCTGGGAGATGCTTGCTGATGTCTCATCAGTGGGGTATCCCCTCTGTTCCAGTCCTCCACTGTCGCATGGCAGCTAAAACAGCGCACCTGGTCTGCCTGACCTGTAAAATAAAAGCCTGCCCGGGCCAGGCGCTCGGCTGAAAATTCTTCAGTACGGGGGAAGTGCTGGAAGGAACTCACACGATTAGGCATGGATGACCATGCATCATCAGCTTCAATTTCACCATCTTGACTTGAGCGTGCCATTATTGCTTGTAACAATGTCTGTTAAAAAAAAGAAAAAACAGTGTCAATTAAATACAAATATTAGCATTAGCAGTCAAAAGGTTGGAATAATTAAGAAATAAGTCTCTTATGCTGACAAAGGCTACATTTATTTGATGAAAAATACAGTAGAACGGCAATACTGTAAAAATCATATAACAGTGTCACATGATCCTTCAGAAATCATTCTAATATACTGATTCGTTGCTCAATGTTTTCAACATTAATAATAAGAAATGTTTCTTGAGCAACAAACCAGCATATTAGAATGATTTCTGAAGGATCATGTGACACTGAAGACTTTCGTAATGATGCTGAAAATTCAGCTTTGAATCACAGGCAGAAATTACATTTTAAAAATTTAATTGTAATATTTCACAATATTACTGCCGTTTATCATCAAATAAATGCAGTTCATAGTAGACATTTCATAAAAAACAAATAATAAAAAAATATGCCACACCTTCTAAAGAAAATAGAACACCACCAACAAAAATATAACCAATAAATTGTTAAGGCTGGCTGTTAGTTTGCTGACGTGCTTGCTCAGATCAATAAGATCAGACAAGTTTGAGCAGTAATACTGGCTGTTGTGTAATTATTGCAAAGTTTTCAAAATCATTATCTCGTTTAGAAACACTTAAGGAGGAGGTCATGTGTCATTTCCACGACAACGGTCATAGTGAACCTGATGGGCTGATCAGAACATTCCACAGCTTCCGTGAAACCGCCTGCGTGTGTTTGGTTCACACAGGTTTGTGCATGATTCATATCCAGCACTGACACACACTCGATGGATTTCTACGGTCCTGAACTAGGAATGCAACGCTAGGAATGTTTTTAAAAGAATCCAAAAATGCTATCCGGGAGTTGTTCAGAGTTGCTGTCACTTTAAGAGTCAGAGGCGTTGTCAGTCACATGCGAACAGCGCCTCCAGCATGTGTTGCGTGATTCAAATTTAACATCCACCCTGCCTGCTTCCCACTGCTCAAGAACATTTAGAAACCGCTTCATCTGGCCCGACTACACTGACATAGACATAGCTTAATCATGTGGTTGTACATCATGGACATTACAAATTAAATGTCTTCTGTAACTTTAACTGTAACAAGTGGAATGAATGGGCCTCATGTCGACAGCTCTTGACAATCAATCATATTATCGTACCTTTCTACGCAAAAGATGTCCTGCCCCAGTGTTGCCAACTGGGGTATTTCCGCTGGCTGTTTTCATGTCTGCGGGATGAAGCGACAGCAATAACGTGATATCTAGCCCCTGGAATGCGAGGGGAACCCCGACCGAAAAAGAAAAAAAACCCCTGGAATTTTACTACCCGAAAACGATTTTTATCGGGGGACCCCCTCGAAACGCGGTTGGGCTAGTTTTGAGTAACAGACAGGATTTAACATCTTGCTTCCCACTGCTCAAGAACATTTAGAAACCGCTTCATCTGGCCCGACTACACTGACATAGACATAGCTTAATCATGTGGTTGTACATCATGGACATTACAAATTAAATGTCTTCTGTAACTTTAACTGTAACAAGTGGAATGACTGGGCCTCATGTCGACAGCTCTTGACAATCAATCATATTATCGTACCTTTCTACGCAAAAGATGTCCTGCCCCAGTGTTGCCAACTGGGGTATTTCCGCTGGCTGTTTTCATGTCTGCGGGATGAAGCGACAGCAATAACGTGATATCTAGCCCCTGGAATGCGAGGGGAACCCCGACCGAAAAAGAAAAAAACCCCTGGAATTTTACTACCCGAAAACGATTTTTATCGGGGGACCCCCTCGAAACGCGGTTGGGCTAGTTTTGAGTAACAGACAGGTTTGTTTTTAAAACCTGGCAACCCTGTGACCTACCCAAAGTTTCTAGGAAACTTGCAGGACTTTTTATTCTGCTAATGTCATTTTATAGCTTGGCATTAGTAAATTACACTTAAGAAGCATTGAAATAACTTTCCATCCTAAATTACGACTTTCTTTAAATCTAATGTACGACATATCATAACATATAAATACAATCTCCATAATATAATAAGGAGCTTTCACGATGCTCAACCTGCCCTGATAATATTTCACACAAAGGCAAGGGTTTTTTTCTGTTTTCCCTGCTAATGACAGAAGGGATACATTTTTTTTTTTTACAACAAATGCATTGTATACATCCAAACACACACACACTAATACTACTACATAAGATATTTTGTAAATTTCCTACAGTAAATATATCAAAACTTAATTTTGTATTAGTAATATGCATTGCTAAGAACTTCATTTGGACAAATTTAAAGCCAATTTTTTTTTTCACCCTCAGATTCCAGATTTTCATTTTAGTTGCATCTCAGCCAAATATTGTCCCATCCTAACAAACATACATCAATAAGTTTCTAGGAAACTTGCAGGACTTTTTATTCTGCTAATGTCATTTTATAGCTTGGCATTAGTAAATTACACTTAAGAAGCATTGAAATAACTTTCCATCCTAAATTACGACTTTCTTTAAATCTAATGTACGACATATCATAACATATAAATACAATCTCCATAATATAATAAGGAGCTTTCACGATGCTCAACCTGCCCTGTTAATATTTCACACAAAGACAAGGGATTTTTTTTTCTGTTTTCCCTGCTAATGACAGAAGGGATACATTTTTTTTTTTTTTACAACAAATGCATTGTATACATCCAAACACACACACACTAATACTACTACATAAGATATTTTGTAAATTTCCTACAGTAAATATATCAAAACTTAATTTTGTATTAGTAATATGCATTGCTAAGAACTTCATTTGGACAAATTTAAAGCCAATTTTTTTTTTCACCCTCAGATTCCAGATTTTCATTTTAGTTGCATCTCAGCCAAATATTGTCCCATCCTAACAAACATACATCAATAGAAAGCGTATTTATTCAGCTTTCAGATTATGTATAAATCTCAATTTTAAAAAAATTGACTCTTTGGTTTTGTGGTCCAGGGACATATATATATATACAAGCTTACGCTGTAAAAGGAGGGTTACTAACAGCAAAGATCTGCATGTGTACCTCATGGCACTCAACGGTTTCGGTTTGACAGGCCGTGTGCTACACACTGGATTGGAAAGCTTTCACTTTTCTCCATTTGCGATAAACATCAGCACGATGAAGGCAGGCAAAACATTCAAAAGGAGGCCGCATCAGAGAGCACAGTCGGACTTTGACCTTAACCTGACTATCAGGCAGTTAGGATTAAATACAGCGCACTAGCGTTAGCTTTAGCTAACAGTCCGCGATGCTATAAACCTTTACGTCTGCTTACCTTCGGTGAGGAAACGCGTTATTATCAACTTCAGGGACTCTTTGGTTTTGTGGTCCAGGGACATTTACGCTGTAAAAGGAGGGTTACTAACAGCAAAGATCTGCATGTGTACCTCATGGCACTCAACGGTTTCGGTTTGACAGGCCGTGTGCTACACACTGGATTGGAAAGCTTTCACTTTTCTCCATTTGCGATAAACATCAGCACGATGAAGGCAGGCAAAACATTCAAAAGGAGGCCGCATCAGAGAGCACAGTCGGACTTTGACCTTAACCTGACTATCAGGCAGTTAGGATTAAATACAGCGCACTAGCGTTAGCTTTAGCTAACAGTCCGCGATGCTATAAACCTTTACGTCTGCTTACCTTCGGTGAGGAAACGCGTTATTATCAACTTCAGTACTTGAAAGACGACAAGCTTCTCTCCGTTCTGCCCTTGGACGAAGCAAATAAACGAACACTAAGCAACGCAGAGGGTGGAAAACATTTAAATACGTCGTGTTGTGACACCCAAACTGGAATTTACTATGGGCGAAGACCTGGAACATGAATATTAATTAAGTAATGTGACGTCCGTATATCTTATTGGCTGGTGCTGTTTCATGAATATTAAATAAAGCGGGGCTCTCCAGTACAAATTCCAAGCAACCTTAAAATGATTAATTTAATATTCATGAGCTAAACCTTTGCAATAGTAAGATTCGTAATTTTCGTCATGAAAGTGGACAGTGGTTCGGAAATTTGGCAATTTGATTTCGCTTTCTCTACCCGCTTGCAGGGATTTTTCTATCGTGTTATAAGAAAGCCCACCACATTTTTCATTATCCCCTAAATATCATACAAACAGAGTATTTTTCATGAAAGGTTGAAAGCATATCAAACATAATCACACATTTCCAGCTGAGTAGAATTATGTTTTTATTCAGATGGCACCATTGCCCTGTGCTTGGCCGATTTTAAGTTTAATTCCATTCCTGATTAATCATCAATGCAATGAAAAGTACTTTTTTGTAATTAAAGAAACAATGTGCATGTAATTCAGACATTTTTGTAGTGTTGTCAAAAGATCCAGTAGTACTTCGGTACCAAGTCAGTACTGAGATTTTCCTAATGTAACGATACCAGCCATTCTGCAGGACCGGTGGTACAGAGTATCGGGTCAATCCGGTTTTTCAAAGGCTATGTACTGCTCGAAACTCCACATTTTTTATTCAACGCTCACAGTAGGGTTCTCGTGAATCCATCCATTATACTTAACACAATGTAAATAAGAAATTCATTGTGCAGTGTAGACATCTTCATTGATTGTAACTGGAGTTTTACTGGTGCCAACTACTGAATATTGGTACTGTGACAACACTAGTTTAGTATTGTAAGAGTATTAAATTGTGAATTCAATATTGTGAAATGTTCCATTAATTATTACACCCTTAATAATTTGGTCGGGAAAAGTATGGGATTTTGAAAATGTGTAGGAACTCTGCATGCATTATGTACTTTCTACAAGGCACTATTTGCACATTCACTAAAATCAGAAATGAGTACATGTAGGCTGGTGACACAAGACCACATTTTTGTCATAGCCATTCACATTTCACTTTTACGGTATGCATATACTGTTTCAGTTACGTAACTAGAAACTTGCACGCAGCAACATTTCCACATTCAAAAGCGTATACATTTTATTTGAAAGCATTAGTGGAACCTGAAACCTAACTAATGGAAGGGCCTTCATGCATATTCATATGTGGCACATATGTTCTATCATGTGTTTATCTCAGTTCTATTAAAACTAATAGAACTGAGATAAAACTCTATAATGTGAATCGAGATCATGTGGCAAAGGCAGAGGTTTTTTTGCCGAGGCTTGGACTAGTGATAAGACGTGTGTGATTTTTCCTTTGGCCAAACCAACAAAAACGCATGAACTGTGCAGTATAGGACAGATAAAATTAAATACACGGAAAGCATGTAACCCTGAGGATATACCTCCATGGCTTCTCAAGAATCACGCAGAAGACCTGGCACCAGTCATAGCACATCTGATCAATACCTCATATCAAGTGGGTATTCTATCAACTGCATGGAAAGAAGCTAATATATGCCCAGTCCCAAAGGTTGCGAATGCAAAATCTGACAGGAGACCAATTTCCTTATTATTATTTATTATTTCCTTCTTGCATTGGTAAAATGCAAGAGAGGTTTGTGTTGAAGAAACGTATGCCAACAGTTCTGAAAGAATGCAAGCTATCTGCCTAAACACAGCACGATGAATGCTCTGGTTAAGAATATACACACATGGCTAAGGGAGACTCTCAACAACCAATGGTATTCTATCAACTGCATGGAAAGAAGCTAATATATGCCCAGTCCCAAAGGTTCTGACAGGAGACCAATTTCCTTATTATTATTATTTATTATTTCCTTCTTGCATTGGTAAAATGCAAGAGAGGTTTGTGTTGAAGAAACGTATGCCAACAGTTCTGAAAGAATGCAAGCTATCTGCCTAAACACAGCACGATGAATGCTCTGGTTAAGAATATACACACATGGCTAAGGGAGACTCTCAACAACCAACTAGGGTCCGTGTGTTATTGGAAGACATGTCAAAAGCATTTGATCGAGTCGAACATGCAAGGCTTTTTCAGCATTTAACAACACTTAACCTCTGTTCACAGTTGTTGGCTTGGTTGTTTAGCTACACAACAGGAAGACGACAAAGGGTGGTTGTAAACGGTAGAGCATGGAAAGTTGTGGCATCAGGGGTTCCCCAAGGTGGAGTTGTGTCACAATATCTGTTTTTACTTCATATGTCAACCTGTGAAGTCATTTTTGGTGATACATTGGACACAGTTTATGCAGATGATATTGGTATATCACGAGCTGTAAAGTTAAAAGACATAAAAACAGACAAAAAGATGGAAATGGAGGCACTTGCTTTGGAAACTTGGCCGCAAAATAACAACATGCTCTTAAATGGAAACAAATCTGTCGAAATAAGGATATGTTTTGCAAAAATAATCAATACAACCACCACCACTCATACTGGGAGGTCAGGAGGTTCCTGTGGTATTACAGTCAAAATACCTAGGCTATCATCTTGACAATCAATTAAATGGAAATTATCACATTGACAAGTGTGTAAAAAAGGCTTCTCAACATCTTCACTTTTTGACAGTTTTTGCAAAACATGGAGCTTCTGCTGATGATTTAGTCAGTATGTATTGCTCCTTGATCAGACCCTGTCTGGAGTATGCAAATGTGCTGTTAGTTGGTTGCACAAAAAAGCAAGCAGCTTTGCTGGAAAGCATGCAAAAGAGAGCACAACGAATCACTGAGAGATTTTCTAACACATCAATACATCTACCTGATTTACAAGGTCGGAGAGAGCAAGTCACCATCAAATTAATACAAGAGATGGCCCAGAGTGATCATCCTCTACATGTTCTTTTCCACCAACCAGGGGCGAAAAAAAACTGGTTGGCCTTTTAGGAAGCAAAGCAATTTGACATTATTCAAAGCAAGGACAAAACGTTATGCTAGTTCTACCATTCCTTTTGGCATTGTTCAATGAATGTGGATAGGGTCCTTTTTGCAGTTGCACTTGTATGTTTCAAAACTTTTTGTTTATGTGCGTGTGTGAATGGATGTATGGACAGACGTATATGTATATATGTCAAAATATCATTTATTATTTTTTGGAGTAGTATTATTGAATATGTTTTGAAAATTTAGTTTTTATATTTCTTGGGTATTTTTGTATTTTATGTTTTTTCTTGCAATTTTATCTTTTAATGTACTTTCTGCTATAATTCAATCTCAGTATTGCTAAGCAGAAAAGTAAATACACTTCAAACTTCCAAACTGACTGAACCAGTTCGGAGTAAGAGAAAAACTGTGATATTTTGAGATACCATTAGAAACTAGGAATGGTCATATGTGGGAGTGGAATTCATACAGGTGGAATCCATGAGAACGGAAGTGTTAGATCCTCACGATTAATCAATCACTTGCATAGGCTGTGTGTGTAAGGCTGGCCACGGGGAGTCGGGGACTTGGGGCAAAAATGCCACTAAAATGGACAAAAATGCCCCTGCACAGACAAATTTAATTTATTACGTCTGTTGCTAACAAAGTGAATATGAATAGACAGTGTCCATTGCGGCATTAAATTAAGATCTGCTCATGTTGCACCGTATTTCATTTGAGGCCTTTTTACAGCATTGCGCATTTTAACCAATCACACACAATTCTGTTGAGCTTAGGAATGCAATGGCCAATCAGAGGCGTTCAGATGAGTCATCGCTGAAACTCATCAGTTTTGTTGAGTGCGCGCGCGTTCTGGACTCTTGCGAATTCTCTCATCATAAACAACAAAGCGCAGATGTACGTAAAATTTAAGTAAGAGATTCATTTCAAAGTGTATACAGCTTCAGTGATTTATAAAGATAGTTTTGTTTTTTTGAGAGTGCTTAAACTCGCGATAGATCAAAGTTAGTGATAATGTCACTTTCTATATATCATTTATTCGCTGTTTGAATAACCCTGGAAAGGAAACGTTATATAATTATCAATTTCTAACGTTTTTATTAAATTGTAATCACATTAAATACAAATTCAGTACCATTAAACATTTTTTAGCCTACATGACACCCATGTCTGGTTCTTGCCTAAAAAGAGGTTTATGATGTTTAAAGGGGTCATATGATGCGATTTCAATTTTTCCTTTCTCTTTGAAGTGTTAGAAGATCTTGGTGCATAAAGAAGATCTGTAAAGTTGCAAAGACTAAAGTCTCAAATCCAAAGAGATATTCTTTATAAAAGTTAAGAGTCTACCACGCCTACCTAAAACGGCTCGTTCTAACACGCCCCCACATGTCTACGTCACGATGTGGGAAGATTTGCATAATGCTGCCCAAATGTTCACGCAAAGAAAGAAGGCGTAACTTTTATTCTTGCTGTAGTATTGTTGTTGCTGCCCCAATGTCATGAAGACGCTGTGTGTTTTGTTGTGAAAGCAAAACTACTTTGTTTGGTCTTCCAAAAGAGGATGATATCTGCTTCGTCATGCCTAGAGCTGATCCGTGCTGGTCGCTGAGGAAATACATCAACTTCGCGCTGTGGATCGCCGGATCGGCTTTCACCGTGGACGAAGCAGAGTCCAGCCCGGGTTCGTCACGTCTGGTTGCCGCAAGCCCACCGGATGCTCCTTCGTCGAATCCGCTCACTCAAGGCTGCCGTGTGTGACGCTGTGTGCGAAACTACTTTGTTTGGTATTCCAAAAGAGGACACGACTAGAAATCATTGGTTAAGTTGTATTTACAACACTGTTCCAGAACAGTTAAACCAAAATATTCAGATGTGTGCAGCACATTTAATGGAGGACTGTTTCTTGATCCTGGTAGAGTAGACTACAATGCCGGCTGTTCTGACTGTAAGTATGTTTTTTATATATAAAGAATTTGCCACTGATGATTCAAACGTGAGTTTTGGGAAGTGTAGAGTAGCGCTTGTTGTTTGTCATTTCTCCAAT